AGCCACCACTGTACCTCACCCATCCGACTACACCGTGATCAATGAACCGGTGCCCAGTGTGCAGGAGCAACGCTGCCCAACGACTCCCATGCCACTGCGCCACGGTGCTTGTGCCACCTCCGGCGGGAAGGAGGGGCTGGGCCGGCCGCTGTCCTGCCCAGGGACAAGAGGGGCCCTCAGCTCTCCAAGCCCACCTTGTTCCTCAGCCACTGACACCATTTGGGAGACTCCCGCAAATCGCCTTTGCGTAAGGAGATGGTTTTACGGCACTGAAGCTGCGAGAGCAGCGCTGCGCTCCGCTCGGCCTCTCGTGCTGTTTGAGAGCTGGAACAAAAGGAAAGAGGGAAGGATGCTCGTTCCCATCGTCGGGAAATGAGCTTCCGCACAACGTCAGCTGTGTGCTCCTCTGGCAGAGCTGCCAGGCTGCCGCCACGCGGCCCGTCTGCACAACGACAGCGTCACGCTACGTGGAAGTTACAAATTCCTCTCCCTCCCTCTGGCAGAGGAGACGCACGGGGTTTGGCTCAGCATTCCCGGAGCAGAGGACATCCAAGCGGTGCGGTGGCCGGGAGCACCGGTGCGCACGTAACGTCCACAGCCGCTGCACTGCAGAGTAATGAGTTACTGGAAAAGCACTTGAAAGTAACTCAAGTACGAAAGGAGCTCCGTAGAGTCGAATTCTGGTGTCTCATGGAAAGCCTGCCGTTCCTTGGCGTGTTCCCAATAGTGCAAAACGGTATTCCTGCTTCTCTTTTTCCTTCTCGAAGCTGTCCCTGCTGCCGCCAGCTGCGACCGCGGCTCTGCCCACAATCTGCAGGTTCGCTTGATTCAATAAATGCCAGGAGCTTACAGAGCAACTGTGCACAACCCCTGGTGATCAAACAGGCCTGTCCCAAAACACCTCACACTCGCTCAGGGAGTGCGTCAGTCCCCCTGAGAATTCAGGACAAATCCTCTCTTTTGACCTCAAACATGGAAGAAAAGAAGGAACCAGCGGAGCGTGAGCTTACATGGGGGGAGCACGTGCAGCCGAAAGGAGGGAGCAGCCCTAGGAAAAGGATAACGATGGGAGCCTCGGGCAGGAGGCGTTTGCAGGACAAACAGCACTTGAGTTTTCCACCTTGTGGGAAAAGATGGAAAAGCTGTTCAACCTGAGCGAGTTTGGTTTGTTCCCAAAGAGCCACAGCTCCACCATCCAGCATTGAGAATAAGGCAGAAAGTGTGCCAACGAGAACCCAGCTCCCGTCTCCCCACCGCGCCGCCGCGAGTGCCGGTGCCGCGCTCGCTCGCCGCCCGGGAAGGGAGACATCGAGCTTCCTTTTCCAAACGCCACTGCAAGCCGGGGCAGTTCCCGGCGGCCCGGGCCGCTCCGGCACGTGGGCTAACGCCGTCGGATCAGCGCTCTGAAATACGATGGTCGGTTAAGGGGAGAAAGAAGGAGGAAGTACTGAGGAAGATGAGACTCTCGGGGAGTTTGGGGAGTCCCCCAGCCTCCAGAGACGGTGCGGATTGTACGGACAGGGCCGGCGGTGCCTGTGCTTTGGGTCTTTTCCCTCTCCCTGGGACTCTTGCACCAGCATAACCAAGCTTAAGATTTTTTTTTTATTTTTTTCTTCTGAGTTTAGGAGCAACAGTTTGTTGCTCCTGGCAAAGACACACAGTGGAAAAGAAAGCGCGAGGCGGCCTGCCGCAGCCTCCTTCTTCAAAGGCCCTGGTTTTTTTTTATATATTCCCTACGAAGGGACAGGAAGGGAAAATAAAAAAATTAGAAAGTGTGTTAGCAAATGCTCCCATGCGAAAGTCTAAACTTTATTCACTTTTATTTATATATTTAACAACTCTAAAGTATTTACTTCTCGCTTTGACAAAAACAAAAAATATAGGAGCACTTTACTCTCTGTAGGAGAGAAGGGTTATATGTACAGCTACGGAGAGATACTGCTTCCTCCTTTACATACAAAGAAAAATAATATTAATAAAAAAAGTGCTTCGTCGGTCAAAAAACAGACTAAGAGCTGCAAGCATTTATTCACACTGTACAGCGCAGACCCCAAACCCGTATCGCAGCCTCCTGGCACCTGGAGCTGCACAATCCTACGCTTACTCCCGGCTGTTGGCACCACAAACCCACACCGCGGGGTGCAGAACCCCGTCCCCTAAATCAGACCTCGAGTCCCCGCCCCGCGGCAGCGCCGGAGCCGGGAGCTGTGCTACCCCTTCCCTGCTCCTGCTCTCTGCCTCCCAGGGAACAGCAATGCCGACGCTTCTATTCCAGGTATTCACTGCACTGCTCGAGGAACAAACGCTTCCAGGTACGACCCGACTGGAGAACCCGTCTTTTCCTTTGCTTTTCCCTCCTGACGGGTTTGAAGAACATTTCAAAACCCGTCCCGGGGAGATCCCAACGCTCCGTTAGCAGGCCCCCTTCCCGTACGGACACAGGCTGCTACCAGCCTCCTGGACATTCATTTTTGTCTCGTGAACGCGCAGCTGGTGCCGCCGCAGCGTAACGATCCTGGCAAAGGGCGTGGGAAGTTCAAAGTCAAAAATAAAACACTTCGACGCTTCTTTTCCCCACCAGACCTAACAACTACACTGGGATGGTGTTCTCTGTGTGATACTCGCTTTGGATGACGTGATTGTGACATTCCAGGGAAGGGCAGCACTCCTTTCCCAAGGTTTCTTAGATTTCGAGCTGTTGTATTTACAACTCTCAAATACTCCAGCAGGATTTTTTGTTCTTGAGACTATCGCAAGAGCAGTCGTAACTCTAGGCGACCCGTCGTGACGCGGGATCTACGTTTCCTCCCTGCCAAACTGCCCTACGCAGGTTCTACCTCAGGAAAGGGGGACGAGGACCTGACACTCGTTTCCAAACGCGTATTCAAGAGATTCACACTTTCAGGAGGTGGCTTGAAAAGCGGCTCTGATTGGGACAGAAGGAAGAAGGGGAATCCGTGATGATTGTAGGTCTCTATAAAATCCTCAGGCAGGTTTTTCCTATCTGGAGTATATCGAATAGAGTGAAAAAGGAGGAGGCATTCCCAGGAGTATTACAAGCACCAGTGCCCCCCTCACGGGCCGCGTCCCACGGAAACACCAGCGTAACATGGCGGTTGCTCTTCCGTTGTTCCGGACAGTCTCATTAAAGTGCGAGTCCGACGCGCAGCGCGCCGGCCCGTCTGCACGACCCGCCACACGTGCACTGCTCGGAAAGTCGCTTCGCACGGAGCCAACCACCCTGCGGATGCGGCGAGGACAGCAGTCCAAGGTCTTCTCCTTTCCCACTGGGTTTTAAATAACGAATTGCGCTTACAGAGCTTCGGAGAGGCGCCAGTGTAGCACCCACCTCCGCTCGCTCCTCTCCTCGCCTCTCCGAACACGCACGCGCTCTCCTCAGCCAGTGCTGCCCGGGTGTTTCCGCTCCAGCCGCAGGGCTGACGGCAACAAAACCCATGGATTGTGCGTGCAAGATCGGAGCCACTGAGTGCGGAAACCCGTGAGCGATTCGCCCTTCACGCAGCGAGGATAACTAAGCCCACTCTAAGAACAGAGAGGGAGAGTGCTCTCTTGGGAAAGAGATTCCCATTTTTTCTAGCAGCAACAGGTTCCCAAACAGCAGTTTCTTGTTTGGAAGTAACAGGAGTGATTGAAAGCACTAGCACTGATGCTACAGGTATCCACGCTCTGCGCACCGGCGGGACTGATTCCCCTTCTCCTCCTTTCCTCCACCAAATCGTCTGTCTGCAACAGTTCAGCACTGGGGCAGTCAAATCCGAAAGGGAAATCAGGTTCTGGCACCAGCTCCCCTCCCGCTTCCACAATCTTCCAGCAAACAAACATACATATATATTATTATATATAGACACACACACGCGCACGCGTGGACACATACACACAGATAGGACAGAAAGGAAAGGGGGAACAGCTGGAAAAGGAGAATCCCACAATCCAGCGGTACGTCCTCGAGGTCTGTCCTGCCGAGCAGTGTTCCACGCCCCAGCCTCCAAAGTGCACGGCTCCCGCGTCCTCCCGGCCTCAGCCCACCGAGAATCCGCGTGTCTGCTGGGGAAGAGTCGGCACGGCTGCTCCGCTGCTGCTGCGAGGCCGGAACTTTAATTGGACGTGGCAGTGATGGGTTTATCCAGTTCGAGATCCAGGCTGGAACTGCTGGGGTGCAAGCTGCTGTAGCACGACTTGCAGACTCTGCTGGGTTCATAGAGCTGCTGACTGGGAACGGGCACCTTCTGGTTACAGCAGCTGGAGCAGAACACGTTTCCACAATTCCTTGCATCGGGAACAGAGAAGGAACAGAAAAGAAGATTAGCAGCAGTTTGATGAAGTTGCCCAAGTTCTAAAACGACACTACGCACAGTGTTGTGATGGGGTCAGCCCTGGAGGCTGCAGTTGCTCCTCCTCCCGCAGCAGGATGTGTGCAAAGACAACCCTGCGCTTCCAAAGCTGAGAGCTCCGGGGCAGGAGCACGCAGCAAACCACAGATCGGAATTACGGCTCATTGAACGTCTCTGCAACAGCCTCGCCTCCATCCGGGGGGAACTCCCCCCTCCACGGAACAGGGCTAAGCTCTCTCCCACCTCCCACAGGGATGCTCACCATGGTGCTACTCCTCACTGGCACTGCTGCCTCGGGGGCACACGGCCAAGAGAGGGGCTAAGGGAGAGCAAACGAGGGGCCTTCCTCCGCAGGGATGCGGGGAATGTGGTGTTCTGGTTAGAGACAGATGGGACACCAAGTCCTGGGAGGAGTCTCTGCTCCTTTGCTCTTCAAAAAGCGTGTGCTGGGTAAGTCCCAGCACAGAGACATTTGTCTTCTGTTTCTTTCAAGCGCGCTGCTAGAAGGTTGAAGCATGGGACAGAGGGAAAAAAATGAAACCCAGTTTCGGTTGATGCAACCCTCCCCTCGCCCCAACAGCGCAGTCCCTCTCGCAGCGTTCCCGGCTCCATAAAGTAACGGAGTCACTGAGGATCATGCAAAGCCACGAGGTGGGCAGGCAGGTACGGCATGCTGGGCAACGACAGCAAGGCTGCGGCAGGGCGAGCGCTCCCACACGCATTCCTGGCAGCAGGCAGCTGGGGGAGGCACGCCGGCGCATGCACCTCACGGGAGGCAGGGATAAAAACGGAAATCTTGGAAATAATCACCTGCTCCTCTCACAGCCTCCCTCGAAACCTGCTAAGCCTGATGAGCACTGCAGCGCCCTGTCCTCCAAACCCATCAACTCTTGCAAGGAGGAGAACAGCACTCCAGGGACCTGAATTTTGCAAGTTTCCCTCCACGCCTGACACCTTTTTCCATTAACTCTTTGGCATCAGGATTTTGCGCCGTTATTGTTTCGCGCTAGAAAAGATTTGCTGCTGCCAAGAGACTGACAGAATTCTGCCTACGGCCGGCAGCTTTGACGAATCCTTCCTCGCCCGGAGACACGCTGGCAGAGGCTTTTTTTTGAAAGAGTCCGCAGAGAAATCCCATTTCTCACTTCAGTGGGCTCATTTTCTCAGCACCTGGTCTCGAAGCCAGGAGGCTGGAAAGCGCTTCTGAAGTTGTCTGAAGGACCCTGCTGGAAATCACTGCCCGAAAACCCACCCAGTCCCGTGGGGCGTTCCACGAAAACGCCCCGCGGAAAGGCGGTTCTGACGACCCACATCGCTGCTGCTCAGAGAACGAGCATCCAGCAGACGCTCGCTGCCGTCGATGAGGTCAAAAAAGAACCAGAGGGATTAAAACAAACGTCTGTTTGTTGTAGCTCACCAGCTTCCCTACATATGTTTGTTCTTTTTTTTTTTTGGTGGTTTATCCTTCTGTGAAAATAACAGTGTTCTGTAACTGTTCTCCCCAAGCTTTGGAAAGCTCCGAACCACTCCTTATATCCCACTGGCCCTCTGCCTCACTTGAGAGATTAAAAAGCAACGTTAAGAAAACAGGCTGGAAAAAGGATCTTGCTCCTTTGAGGAAGGGTGACCTGGAATCACACTAGTGATACCTCCTCTTCTTCCTCAGTCACAGATGTTGAGCACATTCTGGTGCTATTTCACCCTCGTCCAGCTTGACATTACCTGGTTTTGCCACAGTATTTTCCATTCTTCTAAAACAAGTGGCAGGTTTTTTGTCAACACGCCTCACAGTAATATTAGAATTGCTTGCTAACACGGGGATCTCTCCCAAAAACAAGGCAAAAAAGGGAAAGAATCAATAAGAAATGCATCATGGCTAGACTTGAAGGGCAGGCTCTTCTCAGTTAGAAGTGAAGCATTCTCTGTTACTCGAACACACGGCTCACTGACGGTGAGTGTTAGTGTGATCCACATCCCAGCTGAAGCTACCAAAAGCCAAGTCCTCGATGCCCTTCTGTGAAGAGAGAGGCCTGTTCATACGGACCCGAACCCCCACGTGTGCTACAGCCACCCACAACTCGGGTCTAGTGATTTCCAGGCACGTGAAAACCAAAGAGGGGCACAGACCGAGTTAGTTCAGAGGAGTTACCCAGAAAACGCGGACAGACGACAGACAGAGGCTGCTGTAAGTGCTCACCAGATTTCATCAACACGTTCAATGTCCCTGCAAGGAGGGGAGAAAGAGCTCAGTGGGCAACGAGCGAGAGCAGCAAATAGTGGCAAGGAAGGAGGCGGATAGTTTTATCCTGCTCAAGGCCTTATGTGTGTGGATTTCAACTCGTTTTCACTCTCAGGTAAGATGCTGACTGTCACTGATCACTGGGTTTCTGAAAACGGATACTATGGGACTACTTGGTTTTCTTGTTGGTTGCCATTCTTTACTGGTGTCTACCAACAACAACCAGATCTCACGTGGACAGCCTGGTCAAGCCAGGTTAGACATGGGAAAGCTGAAGAAACAAGGACATGAAAGGGAAATCTGCAACCAGACTTGAAAGCCTGAGTCAGTTTTAACCCCTCATGGTGTCGGGGGTGTCCTGCGTGTATCCCTGCACAAGGAGCTCTCCGGAGCCCAGGCCTTGGAAAATGAAAGGGAGATGCCGAATGTCAGTCAGCCTATGGAGGCAGTGAACGGGTACACTGCACAGCTGGGAGGAGGACAGAGGAAAATCCCATTTAACTCTCCTAAAACCCTTCAGGTGTGTACAACCGTACGCTGAGTAATTATCTTTTCCATCTGAAGCCATGTGAATTTGCACAAACCCAGTGGACATGAAAAAGAATAAAAGTCATTCGGCTTCTGTTCACTCTTCCCTGCGTTAGTTTATCTTTCCGAGAAGACTGAATGGAGCAAAATACAAAATGGACACAAGAAGGACGTTTGTAATTCTCTACAACTTCAAAAAGCAACAAAGCATCACAGCGTAGTAACTGCCATTTGTTTACACGACAGTTCTTGTAATCGTTTTCTCATGTCCAGAAATCGGGAACAGGGATTTATTTGAAATATAACTTGGAAATCTGAGATTCTCTGTCTTTAACCAGAGAATGATCTACTCACAAGGCCTCTGCCACCTGTTCTTCATTCAGCCCCTGCTGTCTACACTACCTGTTGGAGCCTCTGCTGGCTCTTTGATTGGCAAAGAACAATCCAGAAAACTTTTATTTCACACGGGCATCCTTTTCAGATTCTCTTACAAGAGAATTTACTGAAAAGGGAAGAACGGTTAGAGAAGGAAAGGAGTCATGGGAAGAAGATGCTATTCAGAGCTGCAGTCTTGAATTATTGAAAGTGAAGGAAAAAAAAAAAATTTTTTGTTATTTACACCCTCTTAAAAAGCTAAACAGCCAGCTGCCTCCAAGTGCAGCCTGGGGAAAGCAGACGGGATGTGTTTAGGCCGGGGTGGGGCAGACACCAAATCTGGCTTTTTAATTGTCTGCTCTGCATGAGCTGCAACCGTTTGGTTCTTCCAAAGCGCTCCGCTCCCCCAGGAGCGTGGACAGCCCTGCTCTAAGCCACGTAGTCTGACATCCACCCTTGAGACAGGAGCTGCGTGTCCAAAGAAAGCCTTTCCCTGGTTTAACAGGAGAGGGAACTGCCTCCCTCCCTCCGGCCGCTGCCGCTGCACAGGTTACCTGCAGTGGTGCTTCCTGCTGGCCAGCCAGAAGGTGCTGTTGCAGCCGTAGCACTGCACGGCGAAGTGGTCTGGAAGCCATCGTGTCATCTGGGAGAAACAGAGGCAGGTTTATCAAGGAGAGGGTGATGGATTAGAAACAAACCCATTTAATTTGCACTCACAAAGTCAAAGCAAAGCATCTCAAAGGAAGCGCTTTTCCTGTTTCAAGAGCACAAATTCGGTGTTCGCAACGAGTGAAGACAGACAGCAGAAACCTTCCCTTTGAGAACGGATACACTGAATTCCCCTCAAAGAGAAATTAAGGCATAAAGTCCAATTCCCTGGGGGTTTTGTGCTTTAGAAGTATCCAGGCCAAGAATATTCCCCAAGCATGTGTCCAACTAAGACTCCTTTAGCTAACCATCCCTTCCACAGCTGCACAGAGTTCCTACACCGACAGCAGAGGGCTCAGAGGCACAGGTACTGATATTCCAAGTTCGAGAGAGGAGTGAAACGCAAGGAAGAGAGTCCACAAGACGTGGCACACGACCAAAGGCTGTAGGACAATTTGAATGACGAATATCCCATCCTACCAGAAGAATGAGCGATTTACAGGGATTCAGTCTGTACCTCTGTGTCCTGTTTATCCACCTGCTCCCAGCTGGCTTCAGAGAAAATCTCTGTGCTGCAGCGAGACAAGCAGTTCTGATCCAGATTGCTTTCCGAGTCGGGTATAGAAGTCTGTTGGCAAACAAACACAGATGAACAGAACCTTCCCGTATTCCTACTTCCATACAAATAAAAACCGGACAGGCGTGGGGAGGAGCGGAAAGGGTCACTCCTGCTGAGAACGAGCAGGAAACATCTGCACTGGAGGGTGAACGTCAGAACCAGTCACCTCCCCACCGTGCACACGTGGCAGCAAAACCTTTCGGAGTGGGATGTAAATGCCACATGTTGAAGCGGTTGATGCAGTGGTGGATTGAAAAAAAACCCCAAGAACCCTCAAAAAAAGAACCCCAAGAGGTCAGTTTTAGACCCTCTGCTGACAGGATGATGTGGGGTAGAATGGATTTAAAACTGGTTTTCTGTTGTGTTAGCGCCGAGTTCTGCCAACGCTTTGGGTGATCAACCAAAAGGGCTCCAATTTTACGGCCACATTTCCTTTCCAAGGTTGTTTCACTTTCAAAACTAATACTAGTAATACATATACACTTTTGTCAGCAAAAATTCTGGAAAATACAAGCCAAATCACACATGGGAAACTCAGAATTTGGGCCATATATACTCCATATATAGTTTTTTGGCAAAAATGCTTGCTTAATATAATCTAGCCAGGCATTTTAACTGACTGAAAATTCAGCCAGCCCTTAAAACATATTAAAAATAGCAAGAAACCTGGAGTTAATGTCTTTTCGTGCCTGAGGAATGGGCACATCTGGAGCTCCAGAAGAAAACCTGCTGCTCCCGAGCCAAGGCACACACAAGAAGGTGGAAATCAGACTCTCAAAACCAGGGAACTTTCTAGAGGACAGCGTGTCCTCACGGCCAGCCGTACGCTGCAGTTCACAAAGGCCCTTAAAAAATGGGAGTGTAATAAATTAAGCCAAAGCACCAACTTTCTCCAAGGAATCCGAGCTTTGGCCAGGGCCAGAAGCCACAGGCGAGTGAAATGACACCGAGCTGAAGGGGATGCCCAAAGGAGCACTAACGCTGTCCTCTCCTGGGACAAACATCCATGGGACTATCCAGCACCTCTGCCACTTGGAAACAATATTAAATTAACTAAACAAAAGTTGGAAACCTCTTCTAAGTATTTTTTTTTTCTTCAATTTTGCAGGCATATAAACCACATTACAACGTGCACGTAGGAAAAGGAAAATTTGGTGTTATGTCAACCTCAGGAATTACAGGCCAACGCTCTGCCCAGTGTTCAAACCCACAGGAAGATCCAAACTCTGTGCCAGGGATTCTGCATCTCCTCACCTTCCCCTTCCCGTCCTGCTCCTCCTCCCATGCCTGCCTGTTCCCCACGTAGCCTCCCCTCTTCATTTTATTTAACTAATAGTGCCGGGCGTTTCAAAATCCAGAACTGTTCGGTGCTCCGAGGCCTCTACCCAACAGGGCTGCTGCTTGTTCTCTGGATCAGTGTTACGTTCAAGCAATATAAGACCAGTGACTGTGTTTCTTTTGACTTTTGATTATCATTTATTAGTCAAAAGAGGAGAAGAAATTAGGTAAAACACAGGTAGGGGAGAAGCAACTTAAAAATCCACCCAAGATATACAGAGACACGGAGAATACTTGCTAGCTGTGGAGATCTTGAACTGGGAATTACACTTATTTCATTTCTGATTTTCAAATTTCTTCTGCAACCACAACCACAACGATCATTTAATTGCTACAGAAATCAGCGGACTCTATTTGAGCCACACCTCAAACTCAGGTCTCTTCTTTTACAACTTTAAACACTTACTTGGAAGGGCACAAACAGTTTACAAGCTCCCTTAAAATTCTTGATTTCCTGAGAAAAACCCCTCATTGACATAAGGCTGTCACGAAAGCTCTTAATTTATTCCAGTTAAGGAGCCTTGAGCAGATCAGCCACCTGAAAGGGGACGGCTTGAACCCCACAGGTGGGAGCTAACAGAGCAGCCCCCGCTGCATGCTGCTTACCCGGAAGGTCCTGCACTCCCATCCCAAATAAATGACACGTCCTCAGAAAAATATCTTTGCCTGTATGTGAAAACACCAGTAAAACAAATGGTTTTGGGATAAGGGCAATGCAGGTGTCTAAGGCCGTCCGGGTGTGTGCAAGCACGCTGTGAAAACCCATCCTGAAATAAACCTGTGCTGCATTCACGGTGGGACTGAAATACAGACAAAACATCAGCCATCCTTAATTGCCGCTTGCCACGTACTCAGTCAAGTCGTTTGCCCTCTTCACAATGACCCTGAGAGTTTTACAAAAGCCTGTACAGCCAAAAAAAAAATCAAATCACTACCTGACCAATGAATGAGCCAAGAGCTGACAATACGGTGAGATCCAGCACTTGAGTACTGGCCCACTGTTCCCAGCAGTGGCCCAACTACCCCTTCACTTACCACTTCGTCTCCATAATCACCGTTGAGGCGGAAGGAGCTGTTTGGGAACTGGCTCTCCAAGCGGCTCCTCAGCTCTTGCACTTGCTTCTTCAAGGTCTCCACTTCTTGCTGATGGCCAGTTTCTATCTGGCGCAGGCGCTGCTGGATAACGTCGGTGTAGACGGGCATCCCATCGTCATCCAGGTGGCTCCTGGCAGGTTGGTCCGGGCTGCTGGCTGCCTGCTGCTTACCCAGATGACTCAACATCCATTTTTGGTGCAAGTTCCTCAAGTGAAGCTGTGCAGAACTGCAGCTGGCGGTGGAGACCTGCCGGCTCAGAGAGGCCTTGATCCGACCGTCCTCTCCGTTCACGCAGTGTCCGTTTGTCGCGTGGTACTTCTGGGTGACGCTGAACCCCGCGGGCTTCTCCGTCACCTTGTTCTCAGGCTCCAGGTCGCCGTTACACACAATCTCATCTTTACATTCAGCTAAAGGCAAGGCACAAGGGGAAGGCATCGGGATGTGTGTGTTGCTGCTACCAGAAGTCCTATGTACTTTTGTTCCCAGTTTTTGGAGTTCTAGCATGCTCTCCCCCTCTGGCCTGTTTCCAATCGCTCGAGAAAGCTCGTCAGCACTGTTGTCCATCAGGTGAGGTCTATGGCAAGGACCCTTGGGAACAAGCTCTTGCTTTGCTTCGTTCTCTGTTAAGGTTTCCGTAGAACTTTCAATGTTGGATGTTCTCACCTCGTGTGGGATTGTAAGAGGTAACGGGAGGTTGGCCTGCGCTGTGTTGTACAGGCTCTCTGCTTCTCCTTCAAGTTTGCTAACACCTTCTTCCTCCGCGTTCTTCTGAGTGTCTCTATTCACAAAGCCCTCCGAAGGAACAGCCAGTAGTCCTTTCACCTGAGGTAACTTCTGGATAGCGTGACTGAGATCAGGACGCTCATCCTGTTGTCCTTTCAGCTCAGAAGCACCTTGTGAAACTGGGTGTGGATTGGATGCTGGATTGTTCAGTGGAATACCTTTATCCGCCTCAGCCTTTTCACAGAGGTCACCGACATACCCAGGTAGATTTTCAGTTCTCTTATCCAGGGCAACCTCATCCCCTTTCCCTCCTGTCTCTAGGCTACTCCTTAAGTGCTCCTCCAGACCAACATCATCTTTAGTGGCCTCCTGCAGAATGTTCTCCATCTGTCCCTCTGCCACACCAGCTGCAACAGAAAGTTCTGCTCCAACTGGAGCCCTGCCTTGTTTACTTGGGCCATCTCCGTCGAACGGATCGTCCCCAGGGTTACCGAGGCTGCTCAGCTCCAGGGACCGGCGGTGCTCTTGCCACTTTTCATTGAGGCTGGGGTCGCTACTACGTCGATTGGTTGTAGGCACGCTGCTGTCACAGGCTGTCGTCAGATTGTCAAACGATCTTGTCTTTGGTAACCTATAAAAGGTACAAATAATCAGAATCCAAAGTCAAGGGATTTTTTTTTTTTTTAAATGCTTAGCTGCTAGAGTTTAAAAACATCCCCCACAATCGGGACAGTAACAATCTGCCAACTAATGGACTTCTGTAAAGCATCATCTAGGAGCACATTTTGACCATCTGTAGTGCCGAGCTGCTTCAGAACTTTCTTTGTCTGCCATCAGGAAAATATGTTCAATCAGACTTCGAACATTCCCAGAATAATCCCTGTACTGCGAAGCGCAAACGCTTACAGTCCGGTCACACCTCCTAACTAACGTGCTCAGAATGATTGCACAAAAAAGCAAGGAAACAGTTATGCAACACAGAAAAAGAACTCAAAATTCAAGACAACCGAATGAAAGCTTGTATCCCACAAGGATACAAGGAATCCAACAAGGCTGTGCAACACCCAGAGCTTAATTCTATTTGCTAATCTCTCTGTTACTCCAGCACCTCTGAAAAGCAACAGCTTTCAGACCCCAAACGAGGACAGGCAGCTTTTGGGTAGGTCCATCACACAGTCCCACCAAGCAGCCTGGGAAAAATACTTCCCTCCCACCACAAATATGCTGCTCTTTGCATCTCACAATGTTCTCTGTTGATCTTACTTTAGGGGATGGGATTTCTGGGCTCTAGGCTCACCTGCCCAGAGGCTGATCTTCAGGGCTAGAGCCTGGCACAGGGTACGGGGCACAGGTGTCGTCAGCGGGGGTGGAGGGGGAAGAGCACGGCAGGTAAACAGCACTCCAGAGCATTAAATTCCGCACATGGCACACCGGATACAGCACCTGAGAGGGGAGAACGCGACAATGCTGTGAGCTGCTCGTTCCCAAAGAGGTGTTCAGATCTGACTGTGGTAGTTTATTATTCAGGTTTGCAGCTGGGAGGCTTTCCTAGATCTCTGGAATATTCGGAAGGCCAGCGAGCAGCCGTGGCACACGGATATATAATTATCTTTTCTTTCTGAGACAGAGGCTGAGGCATAACAATGCTGGCTCTCAGCTTCTCAGGAATGAACTACTGCAACGTGCTCCCTGTGAAGCTACACCTTACTAATGCTTCGGAGCGATTTAAGCTGCTGCAGAATTCAGTGGCCCATTGTTGGCGCAGAGATTTCCTTGTACTTCGCACTGCACCGTGCCATACCAGAGCTGAACTAATAACCTGCTTCCACAGGCTCCCATTCCTCAAAGCTAACCCTGCCTTTCATGGAAGCACTCGCGCGTTGAAAATTAAGTACATGCAGAAATACTTTGCTGAAGAGGCAGCTTGCTCGTAAAAGGGATTCCTTGACTGCGGAATGCGCTTTCTGTTCCAGTTTAAAAACACCTTGGGTCACTTGAGCAATTCCACCGCTTTCCCAAGCAACTTTCTTGCGGAAAAGCCGGCAATGGCAGAGGAACACCAGGCCTCCCCGGCACTGAGCAGAGGGGTGGCTCGGTCAGGGGGATGCTGCTCTTAAACAACTCTGGGTTTATAACAGGTGGCTCCATCACAGAGGCACCTTTTAAACACTGAAGTAAAACCACAAAGAGATGAATACGAGACAGGAAATTACCAGAACTCCCACATACAGACAAATTATCCTAATTAGCTCAGTACAGTGTGGGATTTACTGAGGACAGAGGCCAGGTCACCATGACTGCACCTGTACTGCAGGGTACGGCACGTCAGGGCAGCCCAAGGACAGAACCTGCCCGCACCGCCCGCTTCGGGAGCGCTCTCTGAGCGTCTCCTGGGCAAACCTGCTGGTATTTTCAGGGGAAACTTAGATGCATCCATAGCTTTATCCCCCACAAGCTGTCTGTATCTGCAGTCTCACGCTTTCAGCTGTCACAGCCATTCTTACGACAACACCACCAGGCTGAAAAGTCTTGAAGGGCTCTCTGGTCTCGCCTGTCGCAATGACAAACAGGGTCTGTGCCCAGTCTGAGTGCAGGCTGCACGCCCGGTGTCCAGGGGAGGCAGACAGCCACAGAGGGCTGACGTGAATATAAAATTGATCTTTTTATAGCAAGTGCAGGCATAACCTCTTTCCCACTGCGCCAGGTTTTTATTTTACTCTAGGGAACAATTAAAAGGCACATCTATCATACGCAATAACATCGCACAGTCCTTACAGTTAGGTTTATGATATCTGATACTTTCCTAAACAAAAAGGGTTTAAATATTTATAAAAGTCTTTGCTGTCTTAATCATGATGACATTTAATGATTGACTGTTTGTTCGCACGCCCAGCACACTGCACCCCTAAACGCCTTACGTGCCCTTTTATCAAATACACAAAACAGCAGCTCTAAGTCAGAAGCTTCAGTGAGCTATTACTAGGAAAGAGCCAAACTGGAAATGTGAAAGTATTAAAAGAGCCAAAGATACACTAAATAATCTGAGTTACTTTTTCTGTTCACATTTAAGATGAACAGAGGTTTGTACGCAATTTTATGACACTCCTCTGACACAGCTTAGCTCTCTAGAAAGGTCTATTTGTCAAACAGACAAGCTGAAATGTTTTCTGATACAAAAAATAAAGCAAAATATTTAGTTACAGAAAAGGCATTTCCAGCACAGAGAAATCTCTGAGGTTGCATTTGACAAGCCTCAAATACCAGCAACCTTAATGCAAGACTTGAAAGGTCAGACTGAACAGAGTGTTCAGAGGGAGAGCTGAGCACGCTGCTCTGCAAATACTTCTCTCTACACTGCGTTATGGTGACAGTTAAGGCGTTGCGATGTCCCACTGCTACAAGCTTGGGTATTTTCACACACTTTTGGGAACACGATACCTGGGAGCCCCTAATGGGACTCTCCCCGCGTGGTGGGGGATGATGGATACATACAGATTCGGACTGGGAGGAGTAGAGCAGGTTTTTGAAGGCTTTGTTTGCTGCCCGCAGCAAAGACCAGACAGAACAGGTCCGTTCCTGAGTGTGTTTTTCTCCTCTCTCTTTCGCATTGTTGCACAGGAATGTACCAAAGAGGCAAGAGTAGGTGTGCTGCACCAATTTGACCTGCACAGACCAATACAAATATTGTCATATGGCAGAAGATAGCAGCTTAATATGAGAATCAACATTCAAACTTAAGAAGCAACAAATCTTTCCTTCAAAGGCAATACATCCCCTGCCTAAAGACTGGTATACAAATACACCGATCAGTTTTTGCGTAACACCTTTTAAACTGATTGCGAAGGAACTCGAGCATGGCGGAATCTTAACTAAAAAAAATCAGGAAAAAATACAAAACATAAAGAGAAAGTATTTGTTCATAATCAAGTATAAAAGTCTTGCTGATTCAAACTCATAGTCCTCTAGGATGAACAAAGAAGAGAATCATGATACAGGTTACAAAACATTAATGCAGCACAGAAAGGTGAAGAACGGTGGGGAGAAGTGTTAATTTCTGAACGTTGGTATAAATGCACACAGCATACACATCTGGATGGCTATTCACTCCGTGCCGTGGTCCCAGTCTGACAAAATAGCTTAACATGAACCTAACTTTAAGCATATAAATGACTTCCATGGGATTATTCAGCAGTTTACATGAAGACAAGCATGCCAATAAATTGAGGGGTTTACTCTAAGAAGGCCAGAATCCCAAGGGTACGTTCGCACACAGCTCCTGTAGATGAGCAGTGTGCTGTGAAGCCACTTACAGCCTCACGTATCCCATTTCACAACCCAGCCAAGCTGAGCCGGTACGGATACTCGGTTACGTGGCTGGGCTGGCAAGTGGTAATTCAAGTCAACCACAATCACAGGAATGTGCTTTCAATCTCTTAGCGGATCAGACACTCCATAAAAACTTTTATTCTTCAGGTTACCAGTCCTGCAGCCAGTGACTGCACTTTCCCAGACATCTGCTTTCTGGCCTTGAGAACTGATTTTGACCGTCCTAGGCAAATTTCTAACAGGAGAGCTGTCCACTTCGAAAGAAAATAAACACAGCTCGTGTGTCCGACACATTTTCAGCAGCAAAACTGAATGGGAAGGTAAGGGGGGGGCTGCTTTCAGAGCAGCCTTCAGCTCAAAACAAGATCAAAGGAGGGGGAAGTTTTTTATTGCCAGTAACCACAACTTTTTTCATGCTGTTTGGATGTATTATACCAGAGTTATTTCAGCATCTCTGAAGTGAGACTATTAAATTCGTATCATTAATTTCTTTCTTTAAAGTTTAAAGGAAGTCCTCAAGGGTCCTACTTCAGTTTTAAGAGTGAAGTATACAAGTACTTTTGTCTACTGCATCTGGGCAGCGTCCCGTTTCCTTTATCAGGCTGCAGCGTATCACAGACAGGTGGGAACATCCGAAACCCCTCGGGGCTCTGCAGTGTGTTAGTACTGGGTACTGGTTTAGAAGCAGTCTATAAAACAGCAATCTCTCAAGCCACAACTCACAAGGAATGCTTCGTTAAACTCGAAAGAGCAAGGGAACTGCCTCTGGAGCTGATGGACGCAGTCCAGCCACTGTAAAAACACTGGGCAGCGCTCATTTAGGTCATCCGAATTCTCACCATGGCCACAGCGATCTGCAAACTTGTGGCCAAAATCCAGCCACTCCGTCTCCACTAGCACCTGGAAACCCTGCAGAAATGAAAGCACACAGGAAAAGTTCCTATTTTTCTTTGGTTCCATTTTCTAAGACAGTCTGAGACTCATGGGAATCACCTTGTTACTCTGTCCTCACTCGCTCCCGTTTCCCTTCACCGCTGGCCTCGTTACTTATCTTTACTGCTCTACCTAACGCGTCCGTGTTGTGAAATGCTGCACAATTAAATTAGGGCAGATAAGAATTTCCAAGCCTACGTGAACAGGAAAGGGAATAAAGCAGGTTAAGTCCTCAGTGACTGGTGCAGAAGATCCTGCTATGAGAGCTATCTGGGCCAGGAAAGGGTCAGTGGGAAATTCACCTGGATCAAAACCCTCTAGATCGTGGTAACCAACATTTGGACAGAAATGGAAATTTTAACGCTCTCCCTTTAGAAAACGATGGGCAGATGTGTCTGTGGAAAAGAAAAACAATTCATCCATGAAAGGACATCCGTGCTCCGAGAGAGGGCATGCCTGTGTGTATACCAGAGGTGGCACGGTCACAAGGCTGATTAAAGGTCGAATTGCAAACGAAAAGGGCAAAGAACATTTCAAACCAGGGCCTAGCTGAGCACCTGAACGCAACAGCTCGTCTTACAGGATCTAAAATCCATCACAGGTTAGGAAGGTTTTGATTCTTAGTGGAAAGAAAAATTACAGAGAGTGCTTATTAAGTCAACGGCTGAAATCAGAGCAAAAAAAATAGCTGACAGCTGAAAACCTTGAAATGCGACAATGCTGCAGGCTCATTTTCCTAAACATTTCTGATCCTTGTACAGACAGCTACAGGTCATGGTTTCCTCTGATGAGGTGGTGACGGAAAGGAAGGCACAGGGTGCGCACAGAAGTCTGTACTTCGAACAGCAACGACAGCACTCTCCGAGGGACCAGGAAGAGGTTCTGTGCCAAGGACAGAGCAGTACGTTTTGACCTGCTGCATGCTGACTTCTAGAACCCATGTGAAACAGGATCTGAGAAGTTTCCACAATTTCACCCAAAAAGCACTGCTACAGTTTAAACTTCTGGTCCTCATGTGTCCGAGGCTTGACGCAGCAGTTTATAGCAGTGTTCAGACGTACGCTTCTGTTCCAGGCACCAAAGGCATCTTGCGTGTGGGCTGGCAGATGGAATCCAGCCAGCACGTCACACAATGCTGAAAAGCGACGGGGGAAAAAATTCGGGTGGAAAAACTAAGGGAAATATAACTAAGCGAGAGTTATGGTTTCACAACAGAAATGTGAAACCAGAAAAACACGCAATTAGGAAATTTAGAAAAGAAGGAGGCTCGGTATCACTAGTTGGCTGAGAAACTGCAATGGTGGAACGGAAACTGCAAAATGCAGTAAAGTCAACGGCTGAAATCAGAGCTGAATATTGTACTGCGTATTCCTAGGATGAATACGGGGAAGCACAGACCGTGACTGTGCAGTTACAGCAAAGGGGGAATATGATCTGCTCCTGAATTACGGACTATATTTACACCTATACGTAACTGTATCTGCACACCAGTGTTGGTAAACTCCTGCCAGCTTTAGTGCCCTTTCCAGTGGAAAAAACTGGAATTCCTTGTAGACAGATGTCCTCAGAAAAGGACCCACACGCGGTAACTGCCTCGCGTGACAGACAGCTTACAAACCTCCGTGGTCCTGTAATAGGGATCTAGCAGCAGCTTGGCCAGTGCCACTATCTGGGGGGTTCGGTCCCAGCCGTCGGAGCAGTGCACCAGGACTGGTCGTTGGTCTCGGTCCACGGCGTGAACTACGAGGAGCGCGGATTTGAGAAGCACAGATAGGTGCTGCAGCCATTTGGTACTTTCCAGAGCTGATAACCAACTAGAGGAAAATAAGGGAAGACAGTTTTTGCTCTTTTAAAATGCTTTCACGTTTGGATCTTTGAATTTATCAAGTCAAAGCTCCTATTTTAATAAGCTGTGAATGTCATTCCTGAATATTTTTCATTTATGTCTGTGTTAACGCTTTCCCAGATTTGTAAGAAACAAAGCCATGCAGCCCACCTGAGGAAGAGCCAGTTCCATGTTCCCAGACAAGGCCATAACACGTCACCAGCTACAGACAACATAAGCACTACTGGGTAACCATTACTTCCAGCAGCCTCTACTATTTCTCCTCCTCCGAGCTGAGGATTCCAACAACCCAGCAGTCCCAGTACCACTGGCATGTCCAAGGACTCTGCCATGCGCCCCTGACAACTCTCCAATGAAAGGGTGGAACCCGAGGTGCCTTTGAAACCTCCCATATCTCAACTGTTCCCAGGCTTTATGAGGTGTGTTGGAGGTATCTTAAGAATCGCTGCCTATGAAGATCCACCTCCCCAGTTTAGCAAGGGTGGTCATTCTGGATCTACTTTGAAACCACGAAAGACTTAGCAGCAAATTCCCTCAAAAGAGGGAAGTGGTAGGGGAAACAGGACTGGTACAATTATAGTGTCCTAGTGAAGACCCACCATCGGAAGCTCCTGAGATGATGGGCCATTAGAGGCTAGTTATCCCATAGCATTGGAGGGCTATGAAACGTGTCTCCTGAAATGACACTATTAACGTGTGAATTACATGGAACACCACTAGGATTTTCTGAAGGAGAGCCAAGCTGTCAAGATTAAAGAACCAGGAGTAGCAGGTAAGCCTAAGTGCTAGCACTTAGAAGCCCACCTGAAAGCAGTAACATTCTAGTATCAATACTCAAGGCTGCATTATCATCTCAGATCTCATTTTCTAGGTTCGCTTCAAGGACAATAAACCAATGACTTCCTTTAGCTCAAATTCCGTGGAAATGAAAAAATATAGCTTAGTGTTACCGTACAGGAAAGTCACCAAGGGAAAAACCACTGAATTTGAGTTTACAAATCAGCAGCAAAAGAACACAGTTGCAAAAACATGTAAACAAAGGCAAAAACCACCAAACATCCACTTACTTCCCTGGATCCGGCATCTGTGTGCAGAGCAAACGCAGCGACTGAAAGCTCTTCCGGATAGAATGAATGTTTGCCATCCCCATGAACA